CACATGTCCTATTTTTTAGGTACTCTTTCACCAAAAATCGAAGGGAAATCAAAATGTTCAAATACCAGTGAGTGCCAAAAGGCACTTCAATGCTATCAAAATGCGTCAAATTAAACTTTTGTCAGGTGTCGTATAACAAAAATGACCATTAGTACGACATTGAGACAAATGATGTATAGTGTAGTAGGCATATGACTTTTTTTTTACATAAATATATCTGCAAGGAGAGGATGAGAAGAAGCATAAATACATACATATATATGCAAAATTCGATTGCAACCGAATTATAACTGCGACCAAAAATTGGTATCTATTTTTATGTTTTTTTTTTGTGTTTAGGTTTTTGGATATTTTTGGTGTACAGTACTTTACATTTTCTGAAAACCCCACCATAGAGTCCGGATACATATTGTTTTTCGTGAATTCAATTTGAAAAAGGTATTGGACGCGGAATTTAGTGGATCACTGTAGTTGTATTTGGAAAACTCCAAGTCAACCGAATCAAAAAATTCTCGTACTCTCCTCATAGGTATATTTAATTTAAATACAAGTCATATGCCTAATGACCACTGGTTGGTAATACGGCAGACGGCAGGACATTGCATATGTAATATGCCCAAATTTAGGCATGCAAAGCTGAGAGCTTAGCGAGCCGATAAAAGAAAAACGTAAGCAAATTTTTATGCTTAACGTAGATGGTCAATGGTATAGATTGTTGGTTATTTTTGTATATATATGTGTATGTGTGTATGTATGTATAGAAAAAATTTTACCATGATTTGGAAAGAATAGAGAAATGGACTTTACTACATACCAACTATACGTACTTTTATCACAAAAAAGAAAACAAGAGGAGTAAGTTGCTAAAGCTTAATGATTCAGTAAAATTGCTAAATAATTGAAGCTCCACCTAAAAACTGTATCGAGAAAAAACTTCTAGCTAACATTTCAGTGCCACAGTAGAAAAATATATACTGTTTAATTTGAAAAAAAAAACCAGGCCAGGACCGACCACTGCTAGAAAAAGTATTGCTTTAATTTTTAGATATTCCGCAAAACAAATCTGTATCTTACTTAGAATAGAGGGTATTTTGTTCTATTTAAAGTCGTAGGATGACGTTTCCCCACATCACAAAAATGTTTGCCCCATCAATTGACAAATATCCTGTACTTTAAAGTCTTAATATGAACTGTTCCGAAAAATTGTAAAAATTTGCCGACTTGCAAGAAAAGCGAAGCAGTTGTTCATATAAAATTGCTTTTTTGTTTTTAAAATTATTCACCATGCCACCTCAAAAGTGATAGCTCTAAATAAACCGATTTTTCTAGCGTCGAAAATTTAATTGAAAAAATACCTTGGTGATTATTTTTGATGTTCGGGAATAGCTAGTATACCACCAAATTCTTAGGGCTATATAAAACGACGAAATACTTTTTGGTGGTTCCGGAGGGATTGTTACATAGACGATAGGTGGTTTAATTGGTTAAAGTCTCACACTGACTGTTTTAGGGTTAAGGCTTTCATTTCAATCCTCTGAAAAACAACATCAAACAGTGGCACACAAATTGAGCAACCGAAAGCGCAGCAAATTGTTTAGATGTTAAATCGAACCGATTTGTAAGCGAACGAGCTAATTAAAGTCAATGGTTGCTGCGGTGGAAAATCATTTCGTTTGATAAAAAAACTAGTTAGTTAGTGGCGCCACAACCTCAAATGTACACAAACTTTATTGAACAAGCCGCAAGCTAAAATGTTAACTTAAAAAAAAAAAAAATACTGCATTTAATTGGCTCAGTGTTGGAGTCGACGACGAGCGAGCAGCCAAAGAGTTCCACGCATGCCGTTGTATGCAAATATTTGCAGGCTTGCTGGCTAATTGAACCGCAAAACGAGCGATAACAGAGTAAGCGCATACATGCGTACACGCACGCATACACCCAGAGAGAGAGAGAGAGAGATAGAGAGGAATAATAAAAATGCGCGCTTATCAGCTGCCTGCATTGGATGCTTTTATAAATTCGAATTGCCTAAAGGCTGCATAAATGATAGCTGGAAAATACGCCGCTTTTTATGTCTATATATACATGTATGAACATACATATGTATGTGCATGCATTTGATTTGTGCGAGCACTTGTGTGTGTGTGCACCTAATTTACGTTGACCGCATAAATGACAAATGGAATCCAACATTGCTGGTGGGTTTTCACCAATTCATTCATTGAATTGTTCAGCTAGGCCCAAACCCCGCAACGACCGCTGGTGTGTAAACAGCATTCCATGCAATCACTCATACGCCCTGTAGGCTTCATATATTTTTCAAAGTCCATACATTCAGGTTGTGCATTTGCACAAAGAACAAAGCGTTGTATATTTTCATATTCTCTTTGGCATATCTTTCGCTCTGTCATTTATGCTTTCATAGGCCTTCATAACTTGATTTACACGCTTCAATATAACAGCACTGTTTGTGTTTTCATTTTACGGTAATTATATGCAAACAAAGCAGATGACGCTTTCCACAGCTATCACAATTGTCATCATTTATGTATTCTTTATGGGACTAAAAAGGTAAATTTTTGTTTAACTTTGCAGCGACTTTTATTCATTCGCATCTGTACCATCTGCTTTGTGGTTTAGCTGTAGAGGAATAGCAATCGTGGGGACAATAGCAAATGCCTGTGTCGTTAAATGAATTTTAAGCGGGAACTGAAAAACCGTAAAAATATGTAAATATGTATAGGCACTTACAACTCACCTTTGTTTTCAAATGGCGAATATTTTACAGCTTCTGAGCCCCACAAAACACGTTAAACATTCCCTGCGGCTAGACCCACAGTATTCAGAAAAAATTTAAAACCATAGAAACCATAGAAATGAAAGTTAAAGAAAAACAGCACGGGCTGCATATTTGCTTTGTAAAACTGTGCCTTTCGAAAATTTAGCTTCATAAAAAAATGACAAGATCTCTTTCCTTAGCAGAACCAAATGGGACAACGAAAGACCTGAGCCCCGCAAGGACAGCCACATTTGTTATACGACTCCAAAACTTTTCTCCAGCATGGGGTAGCGCACCTCCATCTTTCATTCCGAGGTTAATGCCATTAAGCTATGCCTGAGGCAGTACGTAGAAACTGGGGCAACTAATACAATACATACACTCAGACAGCATAGCGACCTGTAGCCAAATAGAGCAGTGTTACTATAGATCATAACGGTAACTAAGTGACCTACTGCTTCCTCTAAATCTTATCTAAACTTATGTAGTCATAATATCAACTGAGATGTGTGAATGCGAATAGCTTGAAAGGCTGTCCGAGAGTAAAAACTCTCGCAAATTCCTCGTTTAGCCATATTCGCCAACTACCCTACAGGGCAATTCTGACTAACATAGTTGAAAGTCTTTCGTAAAGCCATTGGAAGACAGAAGGCAAGACAATCTAAAAGATTTTGTTTATTCTGGCATAGAAGACTTATAGTTGATTTCCACCAAGCCTTAACTGCAGTTTATGCCTATTGGAAAAAGGAGACTACAACTAGAAGGGGATAATTCCACCTATTAAGTTGAAGCAAACGAATGAAAAAAGCAAAACTTAAGAAAACAAAATTTCCGATCACCCCATATTAGAATTATTGGAACTTCTCTGAGAAATTAACTGCAGTTAAGCCTTTGTTGGAAATAGGCTATTACAAAGTAAAACTCCCTTGTCAAACTCCATGGTCTAAAGCTCTTTTGACAGAAAGTAGTTCTATATAATTTTGCTCGCACTACTCCAATAATCGCAATGGCCAGGTGGCCCTATCGTGCCATTGGAGAGGTCCGGGATTCGAGTCTTCGGGAAGAGGATTTTTTTTATTCAATATTTTATTGTTTAAAAAGAATATATACATAGGTATATTTTTTTTTAATTTTAAGAAACTTATTTTATTTTTATTTATTACATATTTTGAATTTATTGTTTTAAAAAGAAAAATATGTATAATATATTTTTTTCATTTCATTAAATTTTTTAAAAGAACTTTAATAATAAATAGTTTTTTTTTTTAATTTTTAGGACCTTTTTTATTTTTTTTTAATTCCATATTAAGAGTTTATTATTTCAAAAAGGTTTGTTTTAATTTCATTTATTAGAAATTTATATTTCTATTTATATTATTATTTATAATTATATATTTTCTTTATCATTTTATTTTTAAATCGTATTTTTTTAAAGAAACATATATTTTAATAATCATTTAATTTTAACAAACTTATTTTACTATTAATTTTTTTTAATACCCAATTTCTTATTTTTTTTTAAATTTAATTTTCTTTTAATTTATAGTTTTTAGCTTTTGTCCTTTTAAAAAGGAAAATAAAGCTAAAAAGACACACAGGAAACGCTCAGAAAAAAGCTTCCAAGATAGTTGCCAGAATTGACAGCTGTCTTACGAAAAACTGTGGTCAGTTGAAACACTGTTTCCAGAATTGCTGTGTAAGTTTTATCGAGCGTATTGCATGAAAGGATAAAGCGCACTTGTCAACGAACGTGTTAAGCATATACTAGGTATTCACAAAATTCCAACCTTGAAAAAGACCCACGAGAAAAATCAGGGAATCGACATACATACTTCAACTTTTTGTCGATTTCAAAGCCGCTTCCGACCGCACGAAGAGAAGTTGTCTGTAATGCGAGATGTCTTAATTTGGTATCCCCGCGAAAGTAATATGCTTATATAAAATGGCGTTGAGTATTTCCACCAGCTCAATCAGAATTAGAATGGGCCGCTCCGTTCGATGCCAAACTAATAGAGAAGAACAGGAAGCAGCGGAAACTAAATAATTTCGAGAGATTTGTCAACTACACGCAAATCGGCGATGGCCTTTTATCTACTAAATAGATGCTTATTAAAATAAATCAAAATTGGTCACATTAACTTAGCTTTTGCTTTAAAATTTATCTTATTTAATCTTATACATACAATATAACTAAGTACATAAGTACTCTTCTAAGACTTACCTTTTGTTCTTGTCTACTCCCAACTGCGATGACTTGCTTCGCGGGTAAATTATGCGCCAATCAAAACGATGCTGCAGCGTTTTTTATCTCATGCACTCACATGCAATTTTAGGAACTCTATTAATTTTTTGTAGTTGATATCATAATTTTAGCCATTATGAGAAAAATCTAAAAATTAAAACAAAAATATATATTTATTTTAAATTCATAATCGGCATATCAAAATCCTTATTTTCTAATAAAAATTATAAGCGACTAGTGATGAACACATCTACACTGATATAAATAGATATATATATACTTACAAACACACACATAATCTAATCTATTGTCTAAGGCTTTGTTCTGCATTAATTTCAACAACGTGCTTTGCTAATTTAATTCTCATAAGAAACAAAAATGCCTTTGATTTAATAAGAAAAGTAGTTTTTTTTTTGCTTTTGTTAATTAAAACCATTCACTGCAGATAAATGCTCTTGTTTGTATGTGATAAGATTGATGCTTGTCTTTGCTTTTATTTTTATTCTTTTTTGATTTTTTACTTCATTTAAGTATTTACTGTGTGTTTTATTGTTTTTTTTTTTTGAAAAATCTTGCTTATCAGTTTGCAAACAAATGCCAATATGCAACATTTTTATAGTTATTTTTTTACCTCTTAAGAAATAGCTTTTGATAATATTTTCACAACATTGGCTTGGTTTTTGCATTTAATTTGTTTTTTCTGTTTGACTTCAACATAGAAGATACAAATTAAAACAACTAAAAATTATCAGATGAAGGTCATTATATCATCGTAGTAAAGTTTCGGCATTCAAGATTAGTCAGAGTGTATGTGCCATTTATTTTGAAAGGGGCGTAAGTCTTTTCCACCTCTTGTACGTAATTGGTTGGCTACTTCTGAACTGAATGCATCTTTAAATCGTTCTACCGTCGATAAAGTTATGACAAGTCTTTTTACCTGATGAAGTTGACCGAATAACAGGAATTACAGAGCGCAGTAAGATACAGGGAGGATCAATGAAGTCAAACGACATGAATTGACTTATGCCGCTTTCAAAATAAATGCCTCAAATAATGCAGGGTAAGCAAATAGCGAAATTATAAGTGACGTGTACATATGTAGGTATTTACCATAATTTCATTAAAAAGGGTGTCTCATATTTTATGCAAGATTTAAATTAAATAGATAACACAGTTATTTTGACAATTTTTTTTTATTTAAATGTAGAGCACATAGCATAGAGTAATGTCTGTAATAAGTAGCACAACGGGCACGCGATCGCCATGGCTTTGCTGGCAAATACGCACAAGTGAATGTTGATTTTTTCGAGCGAAATCATCTTAAGCGGTGAAACCGCTTGATGTTCAAAAACAAACAAATGCGTCACACTATCAGCAAAAAAAGGTTACCAAAAAATCAACGCTAAGTCCTACCTACTTCAAACTTGCACTTTATTATACTGAAATTTAATGGACTATAGTACTACGTATCACAATTTATAATTAAAGCATTTGAAGATTAAATGATTCATTTTCGAGTTTTAATTTTTGTTCAAAGTTTGAAATTCGGACTTACATAGCTTTTGTAAGTTAGTGAGCTGTACTTTCATGAAACAATAATAAATATAGCCAAAATTTACTAAAATGCTGCGTCCCATTTCTCTCTCGCCGCTGCACGTTACAACCCCAATAGCCTCCCATGCCTTGCAGAAGATGAAACGACGGAACACTTTTTGTGCTTTCTGCCTTGCCTTTTCGGAGACTAGGTGAGGCTTTTGAAATAGAAATACTTAGTACGCTTCATATATTTTCATACCGACTAGCAGTCTAACTAAACTATCGGCCAACTGGAAGTCTGTGGTGTGTGGCAGCACTACCACTGCCCGAGTATATGCACCTCTATATGGAGTGAACCTAATACATTTGTATGTATATTAGAGTGGTCCTTAAATGTAATGTCGATGCTACTACAGCCGTAGATGTCACATGTATATTTTGGTCCCAATCGGAGACGGTTAAGGCGTTCGCAAAGGGGTCAAATTTCAGATTACTCAAGAAAATTAAATTAAATATGAAACATATAAAATAAAATAATATGTTAAAAGTTTAATTCACTACCGGTTAAGTGAAGAAAAAGCGTTGAGCAGTTTAGCGCTTTTTAATCGGTTTTCCATTAATCAGGAGTTTATTTATACAGACGCAAATTGTTGGTCGAAAAATGGAAGTTATGTATGTATATTTATAACAGAATAAAACATTTAAAATTGGTAGGTGACATGGCAGAGACAGGAGTTGAACCTGTAGAAGAGCACAATACAATTTTGTTCAAAAGTGAGAGGGACAAACAACAAAAATTGCAATTTGTCTAGAGAGAAATACACTAACACTACAAAGCAAAATTTATCGGAACCATTTGTAATTAAGTGTTTAATTATGGTGTAAAAAAATCAATATGAAATTAAGATTAAATTTTGTAAAATTATTCTCGGTATATTGTTTAATTTAAATACTTAGGCTGAAAAATATTACAAAAATATTTGAATTTTTTTTTATTTTTTTTGAAATTGCCCTCTATGCGACACGCCTCCGATTAGGACCAAAATTTATATGTACATCTTCTACTATAGTAGTATTATATGAAAAAAAAGTTATTTAAACTTTTTGAATCTGCATAGCCAGAATCGGGACCAAAATTATACATATGTGATATCTTTGCCATTGACATTACCGATTGAGAGGAAAGACTGAAAAAAATCGCTCATTTGATTTTTTAAGGACCACGCTAATGTGCATATGTATATTGTTGTACATGGTAGTATTTATAAAATAGCAGCTGCTTGGCTATTCTCATGACCAAACTTTGTTAAATACTAAACTCATTTTTTCAGACTTTGACGTACACACTCACACACACATACACAAACCAAAAACGGGGGTTTATTCACATGAAAATAATTGTTTTCTAATATGCTGCCAGAGTCACTTCAAGCGGGGTTTTGCTTGTGCTTGTACATGTATGTAGGTACTTGATGCATGCGAGCTGCTAGAATGCGACTGAGTGCATGTCAAACAGCTTTGGTTGTAAGAGTTTAAGCAAACAAAAAACCAGAAGCAACATCAACAGCAAGAATACCCAAACCTACACTCGCCCCCACACACACGCCCACACACACACATACACATCCACCTTCAACATGCCAACGCGTGTGCGTGCATTCGTGGTACGCTTAGATATACTCGTTCTATGAAGTGTTGAAGCAACAAGATACCGTTGCAATGGCAGTACATAAAATAGCTGGACTTCAATTGCAGCACTTGCGAGGAGGATAACGTTGAAAGTGCAGGTAACTTAAGTTGCTGTTCTTCTACTTGTTAACGCATTTTTTGTTTCCTTTCACTTTGCTACGTCGATGGCTTGGAATTTTAAGAGTAAAGTATATAAGCATGCAACATCATTGTGGTTGTTGTTGGAGTTGTGGTGCAAGTTTTGTATTTCATGTCATTCTTCTATTTGCTGTTGCTCAAGCGTTATTTTTATACTACTCGTGTTTCGTTTTGTACTTCCTGGAAACCACTTTTTGCTGCTTCTGGGGCTTGTGGCTATCGCAAGCTGTCCAGCAGGTAAACTACCCACACTCATTTGGTGAGGCACACAGTCGTTATAATAATTTTACATGTACATACAGTGACTCAAACAAATGACCACGTGTTGATTTTTTTTTTAATATGTATTCGTAATGTTTTCGCGCCGAATTTTTTTTTCTTATTTTTCTATAACAACCGTCATAGTTTCAAGCTTCACGCACCATTTAGGAAAATTCAACAAATTTTCGTGAAAATTCCAACTTTTTAATCGGAATCTTTAGAAAATTTGTGGGCATGCAGTTCTATAGCCTATACAATTTTTAGTCTAATGGAGTGCAAGTCTCAAACGGCTGAAAAATCCCGATTTTTTAGAACTTTTTTTTTTTTGTGGCGAATTTTTGCACTTTTTACCATATTGTAATAATGAATTTCTTATTAAATAAAACCCAGATGACTGTTAGCAACGAAATTTCAAAAAATTAAGAAAAGTTTTTATAAATTGCACTTGTTTTATAAAAAAAAAACCGAAAAGGCAATCCCAAAAAAAAACATCTCAAAAATCAACGGGATTTTTCAGCAGTTTGAAACTTGCACTTTATTAGATTAAAATTACCCAAAACTGTTCTAAAGATGCAGATTAAAAAAGTTTATATTTTGACGAAAATTTGGTGAAATTTCCTAAATTTTGTATAAAGTTTGAAATTCTGATTTATATGGTTTTGTTTAAAGAAAAAAATAACGGATATTTAAAAAAAGTTAACTCGTGGTCATTTGTTTGAGTCATTGTATGTGCTATATATGGATTTATGCATGTATACAGCCGAAAGTTTGAGTGTTTACGTCAAAGCGGTATTTGTGGCAAACGTCCTGTCTCCGAACGAATGCTGATGCAGTGGCATGCGGTGAAGCAAAGTCAAAATCATAGCATTTCTTCCGACAAATTCTTCTGTGGGCAAATTTCTGACAGCGTACAATGCAAAAATATTTTGAAGTTTTCTGCTTTGCATATATGCAATCCAATGTGTACTAGTGGTTAGAGGTGTGCACTGCCACTCGGTAGAACCAAGGTTTGATACCTGGCCCGAGCAGCAACTAAAAACAACTAGGCAGAGATGCTATTGAATAGTTATGTGAAAAGTCACAATTGATATTAAATTGATTGAAAATTTTCAATTTTAGTATCAGAGGTTCTTATATATCTAAAATATTTTAAAATCGGGCTGCCAGGTGTTTCATAAAATTCAAGTTAAATTTAGATAATGAATAAATGTACCTAACATTTTAGCGCCGATGTTAACCGAAAGAAGTTTAAAAGAGCTTTATTTCGAAAATATTTTTTAAGAGGGTTGCCAAAAGGGTTTTTTAAAAGTTCGGTTGCCATTTTATTAATAATTTATATGAAAAATTATAGTACGGGTGTAAAATGAAATAAGGGAGTTGCCACCTAATTAAAAAGTTAAGTTCAAATTACGGATTTTGCGTGTCAAACTTTTTGAGCTTATGTCAACCGAACAAGAAACTTAATAATTTTTATTTAATGCTATACATGTTTAGACTGTTACGGAGCCGCGTAAGGCGCACTT